GTTCTTTTGAGTCAAACCATATCCAGCTTTCCACGTGGGGGAGGCCTGGCCCTGGAGGCCCCTCCGGGAGAACGTCATGGATGGGAAACACTGCATCCATGGATGGGGGGTGAAGCAGGGAGGGTATTCGGGTCCTAGGAAGTTGCTGAGTCAGCCTGGGCCAGACAAGGTCTCTAGGGACAGGCATAGTCAGGCATATCACCAAGTCAATATTCTTACTCTGTGACTCGAAGGGCTGCAGCCAAGTTGACCCTGTTATTTACCATTTGCAAAACAATAAAAAGGAGTAATTAAATAATCCTCCCCCGAAACAGAGAGGCAAAGGACATGATCAGTCCTGTATTAGGTATAGACTAAACACCAAAGGAACAACTTATTTGATGGTAGACACAGAGGATGACTAGTGCTAAATAGGAAGGCAGCAAGCATCCCTGGATTCTTCATTTCTTCCTGCTTTGTCCAGGGTTCTGACTGTGCCTGTCCCCAAGGGTTAGCATAGGCTATTGACTGGGGCCAGGTCGTGACCTTTTCCTTCATGCCCTCTGAGAAGCACATTTTTCAAATATTTTAGGTGAAATAACAGAGGCGTAAAAAGACAAGAACAGGTTAATTTTTTTTTTTTTTCCCTTGGCTGCACCGGGTCTTAGTTGCTGCATGCGGGATCTTCATTGCGGCATGCAGGATCTTTAGTTGTGCCATGCAGGCTCTTAGTTGTGGCATGCGGGCTCTTAGTTGTAGCATGTGGGATCTAGTTCCCTGACCAGGAATTGAACCTGGGCCCCCTGCATCAGGAGCACAGAGTCTTAAAACTGGACCACCAGGGAAATTCCAGTTAATATTTTTAAATCAACTTCAACATTTTTGTGAGTCTAAAAGTAAAATCTATACATGATAAGGAAATTGAAAAAACTTTTAAAACATAAATATCACCAGTAATCTGGTCACTCAACCTATTACTCTTAGTATCTGAGTGTATTTCCTTCTTCATCTTTTTTCTATCTATCTGTCTATCTAACCTATAAATATACCTGTATCTTTAAATATATAAAATTTTGGAACCCATCAGATTTTTTAAACTAGAATTATAACATGTTATTTCCTAATTCATTTAACTCTCCCCCTACTGTTAGAACTTTCAAGTTATTTATTTGTTCTTATTATAAATAATCCCAGGGTATGTGTCCTTGTATATAAATTTTAGAGTTTCCCAGTATTTCCTTGGTATCGATTCCTAAAAGTGCCATAACTAGGTCAATAGATAAAAACTTTGAAAAGAACCTTGCCAAATTGCTTTGTAGACAAGTTATACCAATTTATTTTTCTACCACTAGATGAAATATCCCATTTCCCTATACCCATAACAACACCAAACTTTTTTTTAACCTTTATTAATTCGCTATATTAAATTGTCATTGTTTTAATTTTCATTCTCTTGGAAACTAATGAGGTTGGATACTTGTAATGTTATTAGACATTCTGAGACTTGTCTACTGGGATTTAAGTTTTAAAATATGTTCACCTAATAAGAACCTGCTATATATAGAAAAATAAAATAAAGTAAAATTCAAAAAAATAAAAATAATAAATTAAATAAAATTTGTTCACCTATCTTTTCTTCTTTTTCAAGGCATTGTTAGCATTTAACTTTAACTTATCTAAAATTTATTTTGATAAATGGTAAGAGGTAAAGATATAATTAAAACAGTTTTTCCCAGTTCTTTAACCAATTGTTCCAATACCACTTGTTCAGTGATTTTATGCTTCCTTTAAGATATAACAAACTGTAATTACACTGGGGTTTCTTTCTGACCTAACTAATCTAGTTCATATACCTGTCTGTTGATTTTGGCATCAATATCACACTAGTTCAATCACTATGGCTTTATAATATATGGCATTTTATAATCTGGTACAGCAAGACCATTCATTATTTTTCCTCTTTGAAAATTTCATAGCTTTCTACCTCTTTCCCATCCCACTTAATCTTTTATATACATTCTAGTAGTATTTTAAGAAAATTTGCATTGAGGGTTTTTATTGAAATGGCATGAAACCTATACTTTAGCCAACTGATATGTTTTATAAGTAAGGATCCCATGACAGCAGTCAGGCCTTTGTCCTGGAGCTGTTGCTTCTCCGGAGGACAGTGTTGAGCGGGGATTAAGGCTGTAGGTCTTCATCTGGGACTAGTTCTGTGAGCTTGGCAAGTCATCTAACCTCTCTGTGCCTCAATTTCATCATCTATACAATGGTTCCTCTTATTTTATTATACCAAGAATCAATATGGTAACTAGAACAGTCTCTCACAATCAAATCTCAAAATGTTTAACAATTAACTTTTAATCTGTCTACCCAAAAAATAACGTTTAAGCCTCCAAGGGAAGGACTATCTGAAAAACCAAAGGCAACATAACTGGCAATGCTGAATATCTCCACCTACATCTAAATAATGCCCAACTGCATCAGAAGGGCAGGGATTTCTTTCTGTCACTGTGCCTCACACACATACACCATGGTACATGACAGGCATTTAACACATGTTTCTTAAATGAATAAATGAATGAATGCTGATGTCTCTCCTGATTTTAGAATTCCAGGACAGTAAGGCCAACAGCTTTCCCCACTTTCCGTCAAATGGCCAGGGAGAATGATAGACTTTTTTGGGAGAACACAAGGTATAGTGATTCTTCTTTAGGCTTTGCCAGGCTTCCCCACACAGTAATGGGGGAGGGTGCACTGGGGGAAAACTCTTAGGCTGTTTTACAAAACCAACACAATTAATTAAAGAAGATCCTGTAGTCTTCTCTTACTATCTCAGAGCTTCCTATCTTACCAGCCATTAAATTGCTTTAATCTCTTCTAAAGAAAAACAGCCTAATAACATACTAATACTGTTTAAGATATTTGTACATACATATTCATAGTAGCATTATGCACAATAGCCAAAAGGTAGAGTGAAAACAAGTGTCCATCGACAGATGAATAAAGAAACAAAATGTTGTACATCCACACAATGGAGTATTATTCAGTCATAAAAAGTAAGGATGTATTGAAGCATGCTACAACAAGGATGAACCTTGAAGATGTTATGTTAAATGAAAGAAGCCAGACACAAAAGAACAAGTGTATGATTCCACTTATGTAAGATATACAGAGAGTAGTCAAATTCATACAGACAGAAAGCAGAATGGTGGTTGCCAGGGGCTGGGATGCAGGCGGAAGGGGAACTTACTGATTAACGGGTACAGAGTTTCAGTTGGGAAGATAAAGATGTTCTGGAGATTGATGGTGGTGTTGGTTGCACAACAGTGTGAATATACTTAATGCCACTGAACTGTACACTTAAAAATGGTTAAGATGGTAAATTTTATGTTATGTATATTTTACCACAATTTTTTTAAAGTTACAAAATGCTGTTTAAAGATGCTTTCAGAACTAGGTCTACGGAAAGAAAACAAAAGGCTGCTTTGTATAAAGCTGACTCACCTACTTCGTGAGCTAATTGTGTTACTGGGTCTAAGCTCATACTGCCCACCACACAACAGGCCAATAAATCAAGAGACAAGTTGTTGGGACAAGGAATAGTGACTTTATTCGGAAAGCTGGCAGACAGAGACAATGGTGGACTAGGCTCCCGAAGAACCACCTTCCCAGAGTTAGAATTCAGGCTTCTTTTATACTAACAGGGGAGGGGGTAAAGTCTTGGTTCTGGGCAGACTCCGGAGGGGATGAGTTAATTGCTTCCTTCCTGCAGTCATTCACAGGTGGGCCTGGTCAGGATGTTTCCCTTGAGCTAAATAAAGGTATTTTAGCTTAATGCTCATTATCTAGGAGGCAGGGTTCCTAGAAATGCACCATTACATATAATTTAAACTTATAGGTAACATCCCTTTAGCGATTAACTTGTAATAGAATACAACTGCAGAAGATAACCCTCAACTGTGCAGAGGTATTACATGGGCTAGAATTAGGACTAGATGCCTGCCTGACACTGGTTCAGGATTTTTCTGATTCTACCATGACAAGGGCTTATGCTGTCCTTTCCTGCCAGCTGGCCTCAATCAGTCCCTCCCCAGTTCATTACACATGTTCCAATAAACTTGAATCTCTCTCTAAAGAAAGAAGCCTGCACTCAGCTTCCCTTCCCAGAAGACTCCTGTCCAATAATGTAGATGCAAATAGCACACAGGTGAATCTCCTCACTTCATCAATCAGCATATCTAAAATATAGGTCTTTGCCAAGCTAATATATACTCCTTGATACTCTTCTACCAGAATGGTAGGTGGGTGGTACTTGCCTTACATCCACACAAAGTAAAGGGGCCCCACAAAGGGTTCATTCCAGACCAGGGACATTTGCTATGAAGATGAACTGAAAGTACCCTGTACTACAGACTGAAAACAGCAATTTTTAAATGGCAATGCTCCCCACCCCAGCCCCGCCCCCGAAAAAACCCCAAAATATTTTAAGCGCTTTTCACCGAAAGCTCCAATACACAATATACATATTTTTAAATATATATATATATTTTAAACCCTAGACATATAAATGGGAAGTATAGCATTGCCATTCTCAACATGATCACTATGACCTTTATAGCAGAGAGAAGGAGAGATTTGCAAAATCCACAGGAAGGAGGACAGAGAAGGAGGAGCTGTCCATACTTGTAGGTTTCTGGCAAGTAGCATCCTAAATTAATAGAGGATACAGAAGTAGGTTGAGCGAGAAGAATTTGGTGAAAGAGAAATTAGTAACAATGAACTGGTAGGTAAAGGAGGGTGGAAAAGGAGCTGGGTGGCGACAAAGGTAATTTGAGAGAGTGTGTAAAGCGCTCCGGAAACGAGGAACAGGTAATGACCGTCAGACTCCACTATCAGTATTGCAGCTCCGCTCCCAGAGAGTTAATTTGCCCATATTCCGTTGAATACCGCGAGAACGTACATCCAATTAACTACGCCCTCCTTCCTATACGCTAAAGACCCGCCTGCCGACCCGCCCCCTGCGGCCCAGGTCCCGCCCCTCGTGTCCTCGCTGTATCCGGCCGCGTTAATAAAGTTGCAGCAGTTTGACATTTGCGGCGGACAACATGGCGGCCTCCACGCTCGGCTTTCTGCTGCGGACAGTCCGGCAGGTCTGCGCCACGCCCTTATACCCTCCTCCCCCTCTCCTCTGAACCTCCAAACCCACGGGTCCCCCACTATTCTGCCAGCTGTAGCGCCCAGTGCAGACCCGTCTCAGGGTTTTCGCTCTGCCCACTTCCCTCCTCCGGCCTGCTTCAGGGGAGGGCCGAGCTGTAGATGTAAATTTGGTATTCGTAAGCTTAGAGCTGACTGGCATTGAAAGCTACAGATTGACTCCAATTTATAAGGAGTGTAGGTGGGGATAGAAGGTGTCGGAGGAATGAGGCCCCAGAGCCTTCAATGTTAAGAGAGCCCAGCAAAGGAGACTTGAAAGAAGCAGAGCGAGGAAGGAGAGCGTGGTGGCCCGGAAGCACGCCAGGAGCAGGTAGTGGGCAACTCTCTGCTCAAAGTCAATTAAAAGACGAGCTGAGAATTGCTAGTTGGGTTTAGCAGAGTGGGAATTGTTGGGACTTCGATCTTAGCCGTTTCGATGGCGTGGTGGGGGCGAAAGCGTTCACGACAGAATAGGAGGAAAGAAATTGGAGACTACGAATATAGACAAGCCTTTGAAAACGTTTTGCCGCAAAGGGGAGCAGAAAAATGGGTCAATAACTGCAGAGGAGGTGGGTGTTACGTGTTATGTTTTTTAACGTGACAGAAGTAACTGCATGTTTTTGTGTTCAAGGGAAAGATTCTGTAAAGCGGGGGAAATGGATGATGTAGGAGGGGGAAGAATTGCTAGAGCTGTACTCCTGTGTAGGCAAGAGGTGATGAGTTTCGTGTTCAATTGTTTGGTCTTAGGAACATAGTTAATCTGTAATAGCGTTGTCCAGTAGAAATAAAATGCCAACCACATATGTAACTTAAAAGTTTCTAAGTGGCCACATTAAAAAAAGTAAAAAGCAGATGAAATTAATTTTATTAAAATATTTTATTTATCTAGGTATGTCAAAAATATTATTTCAACATGTAGTCTTATAAACGTGATGTATGAGATATTTACATCCTTTTTTTCATACTAGATCTTCAAAATCAGGTTTGTATTTTACACTTAAAGCACATCTTAGTTTGGATGCTAAATTTTCCACCATTAAAGTGGAAAATGTAGGAGCTTCCCTGGTGGTGCAGTGGTTAAGCATCTGCCTGCCAACGCAGGGGACATGGGTTCGAGCCCTGGTCCGGGAAGATCCCACATGCCACAGAGCAACTAAGCCCATGCACCACAACTATTGAGCCTGTGCTCTAGAGCCCGCGAGCCAGGACTCCTGAAGCCTGGGCACCTAGAGTCCGTGCTCTGCAACAAGAGAAGCCACCACAACGAAGACCCAATGCAGCCAAAAATAAATTTTAAAAAATAAATTTATTTTTTAAACGGAAAATGTAGTCCTACCAAAACACTAAAGTTAAATTTTTTAATTAATTAAAATTAAATAAAATTAGGAATTACATTTCTCTCGTTACATTTCAAGCGCTCACTAGCTGTGTGTGGTTAGTGGCTACTGTACTGGACAGAGCAGATCTTTAATAACAGGATGGAATGTAGTACATGTGACTACAGATGCTTTTTTAAAATTAATTGAAGTATAGTTGATTTGCAATGTTGTGTTAATTTCTGCTGTACAGCAAAGTGATTCAGTTATACATATATTTTTTTCATATTCTTTTCCATTATGGTTTATTATAGGATATTGAATATAGTTCCCTGTGTTATTCAGTAGGACCTTTTTGTTTATCCATTCTATATAATAGTTTGCATCTGCTAATCCCAAACCCCCATCTGTCCCTCCCCCTTGGCAACCAGAAGTCTGTTCCCTATATCTGATTACAGATGCTTTTAATTTCGTAATTAAAGAGAAATTGAAGTCATCAGCTAAACGTGGGAATGTGGGAGTAGGTATCAGAGATTTGAGGAAAGACAAGATGGTGTAAAATAGTCAAGAGTAGATCGGAAG